AACAAGCTGCATTATTTATTTATTTATCCAAAGTCCAGAGCAACAGAGAGAGGACCTGGGTCCGGGCGTAGGCCAGGTTGAAGCTAGGAGCCCGGAACTCTATCTCAGCCTGGCATATGGTTGGCAGAGACCCAAGTACCTGCCATTACCCCTTGCCTCCCAAGGTGCACATTAGCAGGAAGCTGGATCAAAATTGGAGCCAGCGTCTTACCTGGTACACCAAATGCCCAGCTCAATAAGCCACATTTAAAAATAAAGCTTTGGTATCTAATTTATTAATGTAGGGATGGTTTATCTTAGAAATTCATAGCGTGGTAGAAAACCTGTATATTTCAGGGTACATCATGATGCTCACAGGTTGCAAATTATAGAGCAAGAAAGAAACTACATGATATGGTGTTCAGTGGGGGAAAAATTATCAGATTATGCACCCTTACTATCTAAGGATATTTTATGGCAGCATCTCTGTGCTTGTATTCATATGGCTCAAAGTAATTTCATCCACAAATTGCACATTTAATTGTGTGAAACATTATTATATAATTTCAAGGATATAATAATCTTACAAACTATATAGTATATTTAATATTATTTTCATCTCATAGATAAGAAACTAGATATAATTTCTTGTGCAAATGTCCCACACATAGGTCAACAAATGCACTGGAGATACAAAACATTAAAGATTTGTTTTCATCAATTTCTATGAATACTGATGAACTTTTATTGAGAGAGGAATGAATTCATGACCATGGCTCATTTAAAAATACATACATTTACATATAGAAAATTGAATGATCATTTTAAATTAAAATGCTGCACTAATGATATCTGTGGTTAACACATCCAAAGATTTTATTTGTAATGTGTTTGTGATCAATTGTGACCACTATTCTAAGGCCAAACAGATTTTTTTCTCATCTCACTTTAAGAAACATCAAATTCATTTAAAAATGACTCTGTTTCTAAAGCTTTATATTTTGAAAGTAAAATATTTGTACTTCCGTACATGTAGTCATTTTGAATTTCACTTTGTATCTTCCTTGGACTATATCCCAATATGAAGAAAAATGCTGACCATATATGTTCTCTACAGCTAATACATGGAGGTTTACTTGGATTCCTAATAGGTTACCCATACAAATGACACTTTGTTTCCATTTGAAAAAAAATACCAGAAGTTGCATTACTTAATGCATGTTTTAAATGATGATGAAATCAGATCAGACCTATTGTCATGTTTAATCCCAGTGAGAGTCAAGTTGGGAATTGATAATTTCTTCTTTTTCTTTTTTCTTTTTTTTTTTTTTTACAGAAGATCAGTTTAGTATACATTAAGTAAAGATTTCAACAGTTTGTACCCACACAGAAACACAAAGTGAAATATACTGTTTGAATACTCGTTATAGCATTAAATCTCAATGTACAGCACATTAAGACAGAGATCCTACATGAGGAGTAAGTGCACAGTGACTCCTGTTGTTGACTTTACAAATTGACACTCCTGTTTATGGCATCAGTAATCAACCTATGCTCCAGTCATGAGTTTCCAAGGCTATGGAAGCCCCTTGAGTTCTCCGACTCTTATCTTGTTTAGACAAGGTCATAGTCAAAGTGGAGGTTCTCTCCTCCCTTCAGAGAAAGGTACCTCCTTCTTTGAAGACCTGTTTTTTCCACTGGGATCTCACTCACAGAGATCTTTCATTTAGGGGTTTTTTGTTTGTTTGTTTGTTTGTTTGTTTTTTGCCGGAGTGTCTTGGCTTTCCATGCCTGAAATACTCTCATGGGCTTTTCAGCCAGATCGGAATGCCTTTAGGGCTGATTCTGAGGCCAGAGTGCTGTTTAGGACATCCACCATTCTATGAGTCTGCTGAGTATATTGCTTCCAATGTTGGATCACTCTCCCCTTTATTTATTTTATTGGTTAGTATTATCAGGTACTAGAGTTGTTTATGTGCTCCCTTTGACTCTTAGTCCTTTCATTATGATCAATTGTGAACTGAAATTGATCACTTGGAATAGTGAGATGGCATTTGTACATGCTACCTTGATGGGATTAAATTGGAGTCCCCTGGTATGTTTCTAACTCTACCATTTGGGGCAAGTCAGCTTGAGCATGTCCCAAATTGTACATCTCTTCCCTCTCTTATTCCCACTCTTATGTTTAACAGGGATCACATTTCAGTTAAATTTCAACACTTAAGAATAACTGTGTATTAATTACAGAATTAAACCAGTCATATTAAGTAGAACAGACAAAAAACACTACTAAGAGGGATAATGTATTAAGTTGTTCATTAACAGTCAGGGCTATGCTGATCAAGTCACCGTTTCTCATAGTGTCCATTTCACTTCAACAGGTTTCCTTTTTGGTGTTCATTCAGTTGTCACCGATCAGGGAGAACATATGGTATTTGTCCCTTTGGGACTGGCTTATTTCACTCAGCATGATGTGTTCCAGATTCCTCCATTTTGTTGCAAATGACTGGATTTCGTTGTTTCTTACTGCGGTATAGTATTCTAAAGAATACATATCCCATAATTTCTTTATCCAGTCTACCATTGATGGGCATTTAGGTTGGTTCCAGGTGTTGGCTATTGTGAATTGTGCTGCAATAAACATTAGGGTGCAGACCGCTTTTTTGTTTGCCAATTTAAATTCCTTTGGGTAAATTCCAAGGAGTGGGATGGCTGGGTTGAACGGTAGGGTTATCTTCAGGTTTCTGAGGAATTTCCAGATTGACTTCCATAGTGGCTTGTCCAGTTTGCATTCCCACCAACAGTGGGTTAGTGTCTCTTTTTCCCCACATCCTCGCCAGCATCTGTTGTTGGTAGATTTCTGTATGTGAGCCATTCTAACTGGGTTGAGGTGAAACCTCATTGTGGTTTTGATTTGCATTTCCCTGATTGCTAGTGATCTTGAACATTTTTTCATGTGTCTGTTGGCCATTTGGATTTCCTCTTTTGAAAAATGTCTATTGAGGTCCTTGGCCCATCTCTTAAGTGGGTTGTTGGTTTTGTTTTTGTGGAGTTTCTTGATCTCTTTGTAGATTCTGGTTATCAACCCTTTATCAGTTGCATAGTTTGCAAATATTTTTTTCCCATTCTGTCGGTTGTCTCTTCACTCTCCTGACTGTTTCTTTTGCAGTACAGAAACTTCTCAATTTGATGCAATCCCAATAGTTGATTTTGGCTTTGACTGCCTGTGCCTCCCGGGTGTTTTCCAGAAACTCTTTGCCTGTGCCAATATCTTGAAGGGTTTCTCCAATGTTCTCTAATAACTTGATGGTGTCAGGTCATAGATTTAGGTCTTTAATCCATGTTGAGTGGATTTTTGTGTAAGATGTAAGGTAGGGGTCTTGCTTCATGATTCTGCACGTGGAAATCCAGTTTTCCCAGCACAATTTATTGAATAGACTGTCCTTGCTCCAGGAATTGGTTTTAGATCCTTGATCAAATATAAGTTGGCTGTAGATGTTTGGGTTGATTTCTGGTGTTTCAATTCTGTTCCATTGGTCTATCCATCTGTTTCTGTACCAGTACCATGCTGTTTTGATTACAACTGCCCTGTAGTATGTCCTGAAATCTGGTATTGTGATGCCTCCGGCTTTGTTTTTGTTGTCCAAGATTGCTTTAGCTATTCGAGGTCTCTTTTGCCTCCATATAAATTTCAGCACCATTTTTTCCAGATCTGAGAAGAAGGTCTTCGGTATCTTGATTGGTATTGCATTGAATCTATAAATTGCTTTTGGGAGAATGGACATTTTGATGATATTGATTCTTCCAATCCTTGAGCATGGAAGATTTTTCCATTTCTTGGTATCCTCTTCTATTTCTTTCTTTAAGGTTTTGTAATTTTCATCGTAGAGATCTTTAACATCTTTGGTTAAGTTTATTCCAAGGTATTTGATTGTTTTTGTAGCTATTGTGAATGGGATAGATTTTAGAAGTTCTTCCTCTCCATGGCATTGCTTGTGTATACAAAGGCTGTTGATTTTTGTGCATTGATTTTATACCCTGCTACTTTGCTAAAATCTTCTATGAGTTCCAATAGTCTCTTAGTAGAGTTCTTTGGGTCCCCTAAATAAAGAATCATATCATCTGCAAAGAGGGATAGTTTGAGTTCTTCCTTCCCAATTTGTTCCCTTTAATTTCTTTTTCTTGCCTAATAGCTCTGGCTAGAACCTCCAGATCTATATTGAATAGCAGTGGTGAGAGTGGGCATCCCTGTCTGGTACCAGATCTCAGTGGAAATGCTTCCAACTTTTCCCCATTCAATAGGATATTGGCTGTGGGTTTTTCATAGATTGCTTTGATTGTATTGAGGAATGTTCCTTCCAAACCCAGTTTGCTTAGAGTTTTCATCATGAACGGGTGTTGTATTTTATCAAATACTTTCTCAGCGTCTATTGAGATAATCATATGGTTTTTCTTCTGCAGTCTGTTAATGTGGTGTATCACATTGATTGTTTTGTTCATGTTTTAAAACAATCACATCGGCTTACTATCTAAGGATATTTGCTGAAGCATCTGTGTTCCATTTGTAATCAAGCTCCTACATTACTAGGTACATATAAAATATTCATTTACTAGATGTTAAATATGACTTTTGACACTGCAATGTTAAAGATGAAAATATTCCTCAAAATTATGTAATATTCTAACAGGAAAATGTTCTTATATGGGCATGCATAGTGGTATAAAAATAAGATCAAAATGTCTGCCTGATATATTTCAAAAGAGTTATATGATAATTAATAATAACTCCCATCTAATGAGTATTTACTGAATGCTCTACAAGTCCTTGAAAAAACATTTTAGCCTGCCTTAATTTCTTTTGAAAATATAATGGGAGTTTGATGATGTCCTTTGAAAATACTACTTCTTTGTCTTTGTTTAGTAATGGACTCTTATGTTGATTTCCAGTTTCATTCTGATCCATTTCCATTTACAGCTTAATCCTGTTTCCCATTCAAAACACTCTATGGGATAACATTTACCTTTTCATGACTTCCCAGCACAAATTAGCATTTTCTTTAACAGGATTCTTTGTCTTTCTCCATTTTTCATGTGCATATCAGATGAGTAGCTCTTGGTCTGGAACAATAGAGTGCAAAAGGAAAACAACTAAATAGAACTTGAATTAAAAAAGCCACCAAATTGATACTTTCATTATTGTACAAATGTCACAGATTAATCTTATGGTTAGATTCAAGCTGTTCACAGTAAAATTTTCAGTCAATGCATTTACCATTCTGTGAAGTCAGTATGGAAAAGTGGCTTAAAATGATTAACAACTTAAGTGTCAGTGAATTCTCATTCATCTACAAATCAAATATTAAACTCTCTAACATTTCAATCCATTTCCCTGCCACTTTTTAAAATAATGACTAATAAAACCACCAGCACATCCTAATGCAGACTCAATGCTCATAGTATGAGCCTCACAGACCCATCTGTCTAGATTCTTGATGTATATAAAAGTATAATTGTGAGGGGTTGTTGTGGTGCAGTGGGTTAAGCGATTGCCTATAATGCTGAAATCTTATATGATACACTAGTTTGAGTCTTGGCTTCTCCACTTCTGATCCAGCTCCCTGTTAATGCACCTGGGAAAGCAGCAAAGCAACAGAAGATGTTCCAAATATTTGGGCCCCTGCCACCTACATGGGAGACCACCCCCCACAACATGTACATCATATATGGGAGCCAGTTCCAGTCCCAGCTGCTCCACTGCTGATCTAGCATCCTGCTAATGAGCCTGGGAAATCAGCAGAAAATGGTCCTATATACTCTGAGGAGACCCTTATGAAGCTCCTGGTTCCTGGCATTGGCCTGGCCCAGCCCTGGCCATTGCAGCCATTTAGGGAGTGAACCAGTGGATGGAAAACCTCTTTCTATCTCCCTTTCTAACTATGCCTTTCAAATATATAAAAAATAAATCTTTTTAAAAAAGGTTTTGTTACAATCTAACTCCATATTAGAAAACACTAACAATATCCATTCTTCAAAATATTTCAGTCACTAGGCATTTCCAAATGCACATCACTAAGAATACTATTAGTATTCAAGAGATCAACTGTATGTGTATGTGTAAGGATTTTCAAAGGATTTGAGAAACCAAGTTAGATTACCCTTTTCCTTAGAGGCTATCTTTTCCTACTTTTTTTTTCTTTTAGCATACCGTCTATAAATCCTATTTCTATTTCTCATCACAGAGGAGCCTGTTGCCAATATTAGCCAGTTGTGATGGCTAAAGTAATAGTAATATGTTATGTAGACATTGAAATATTTAATAAAATATAACATTAAACTCATGATTCTGGGAGATTAGAAACTGGTAGGGAAAGATTATGTAACAAACACTGGTGAGCTTTCAGAAATACTGTTCTAATAACAAGAACAATTCAGGCCTGATGAACATATTGATATTTGGTTTGAGGCCAGATATATTATAATTAGAGAACCAACTATTTCATATATACACATCCATATATCAATATTCATATATCAGAGAATTTAACACACACACACAAATGAGGCTAATACAAAAGTATAACTTTTAGACACTGGATATCTGAAACAGATGGTTTACCATATTAAGATGTACATATAGAGAACTGATGCCCTTGTGGTATAGTCAAAGCAGCACAGTTCCTTTTCACACTTCTAGGAAATGGAGTTAGCCTTGCAGCCAGAGATGGCAAAAGTTTATTCCTTTTAATTAAAAGATAAGTTTATCTTGTTACAAATGTTTGCAATCCATGCACAGTATTTTTTTTTAACTTTTATTTAATGAATATAAATTTCCAAAGTACGATTTATGGATTACAATGGCTTCCCCCACATACCGTCCCTCCCACCCACTACCCTCCCCTTTCCCACTCCCTCTCCCCTTCCATTCACATCAAGATTCATTTTCGATTATCTTAATATACAGAAGATCAGCTTAGTATACATTAAGTAAGGATTTCAACAGTTTGCTCACACAAAAACAAAAAGTGAAAAATCATAGATGATTTTTTTAAAATGATGATGAAATCAGATCAGACCTATTGTCATGTTTAATCCCAGTGAGAGTCAAGTTGGGAGTTGACAATTTTTTTTTTTTTTTTTTTTTTACAGAGGATCAGTTTAGTATACATTAGGTAAAGATTTCAACAGTTTGCACCCCCATAGAAACACAAAGTGAAATATATTGTTTGAGTACTCGTTATAGCATTAAATCTCAATACACAGCACATTAAGGTATCCTACATGAGGAGTAAGTGCACAGTGACTCCTGTTGTTGACTTTACCAATTGACACTCCTGTCTATGGCATCAGTAGTCTCCCTATGCTCCGGTCATGAGTTTCCAAGGCTATGGAAGCCCTCTGAGTTCTCCGATTCTTATCTTGTTTAGACAAGGTCATAGTCAAAGTGGAGGTTCTCTCCTCCCTTCAGAGAAAGGTACCTCCTTCTTTGAAGACCTGTTCTTTCCACTGGGATCTCACTCGCAGAGATCTTTTGCCAGAGTGTCTTGGCTTTCCATGCCTGAAATACTCTCATGGGCTTTTCAGCCAGATCCGAATGCCTTTTTAATTTAATATTTTATTTATTCTGTGATATAATGTATTTTTAATTTAGCAAAAATTATTGCTAATGTTGTAAAGACAGAAGTACCTACTGGAGATAAAGTCTGTATTTTTCTCTTACCATTCTGTGTTGCTCCCCTCTCTTCATCTCCTCCCATTTATGTTCTCTTTTTTTAAAACAATTAGTCAATTGAAAGGCACAGTTAGAGAAAGAGGGATAGGCAAAGAGGGAGGGAGGGAAGTGGAAAAGAGAGGGAGAGGGAGAGGAAGAGAGAGAAAAAGAGAGAGAGAATTTTCCATCTGCTGGTACACTCCCCAAGCTGGGCCAGGCTGAAACTAGGAGCTTCATTCAGGTCTCCTATGTGGGTGAAGAGGCCCAAGCACTTGGGCCATCATCCGCAGCTTTCCCAGGCTCTTTAGCAAGGAGTTGGATGGGAAGTGGAGCAGCTGGGGCTAGAACCAGCACCCATATGGGCAGCAGTTTAACCCACTGTGGCACAGCAACAGCCTGCTATGTTCTCTTCTTTACTCCCCAATACCCTTTATCCAAAAATATCTCGTATATCAAAGAAGTTTATATATCTCACTTTTTAAAATACAAGTAAAGCACCACAGCTGGTAAATTGGATTTGTTCCAGACAAATTCAAGAGTATGAGTTGGTTGGGCGCTTACACATACCGTGGTAATCTGATGTTACTGAACATGTAGTGTACACAAGGGTAGATAAAAAAAAAAAAAAAAAAAAAAAAAAAAAAAAACTAAGAGATAAATTCCTCATGAATAGAGTGAAACTAAACAAGTAGAAATTTGAAAAAAATAGATATTATCTATAAAAGTCATAAATAGATTGATGATAGACTAGTATAAAGCCGTTCAAAATAGTATTGTACTTATTTAGTGAAATAATATGGGTCAAAACAACCATGCTAGAAGTAACAGCATAGTAAAGTATCAGTAGGTATGAACCATAAAAACTAAGGCTTGAAATATTACCCAGATAAGTCTAATATGGCTATCCTTAACCACACTGAAATCTAGCATTGAATGCTATTACAATTCCAACATTTCTCTCAAGCTTTCATACATACTAAATTATTCCTTAAGTTAATTCTTAATTTTAAAAATTGCTTGCCTAACAAACAATATATGTTACTACATTATATATATATAAAACTATATATATAAAACTATATATATATATATATATATATATATTATGTAAACTTCACTTAAAAACAAACAAAACACAGAGCAGGTATTTGGCCTGATCAGAAATCTGGATTGAAACCCCGGTTCCCAACTTTGTCCCTGCAATCACTGTAGCCACTGGAGGAATGAACTAGTGAAAGGGACCATTCATATTCATATTCATTCATTCATTCTTTCTTTCTCTGGGAAAAAAGGCCTAAAACAAAAAAATCATTATTATAATACTTTGACATATTTTATACGTTCTTAAAAATGCTACTGGTCTTTAAAGAAATTAAATCCCTACTGTATTTAAAACTTGAATCTTGCTTTTTATTTATGGCATAAATTTATTTTGAGAGTCACCGCTTTTGGGAAATTTAAATGCTTTTTCCTATTTTATTACGGTATTGTTCAAAACTTCATTAAGTAAGCATCCCTTTTAAACATTGGTTGGCTCGATAAATGGTCATTAACTTTTTATGATAGTAAGAAAAGTAAATTACAGACCTGAACATCACAGGATATGTTAGGTTTTCAGTCAGTCGTAAATGTAAGAATGTACTGTCCCACTCCTTCAGATTTTGTTGTTTATTTTCTTAGTTGCTGCAAGGATCACCTGCTGCCAGGTCACAGATGAATCTTTCCCTTGGATCTGCATCACAGCTTTACCCCAGGCTGAATTTCCTACCAGTTCTTGAACCATGCATGGTATAAAGCCCCAGATGCTCATTTCAAATGACAATTTCGGGGGATATCTCAGCTGCTGAATACTCTCAAAGCATTGCAATATAACCTCTCCTGCATCTGATCTTGCTTGCTTATTCCATCACAGATCTTTATACTGTGACAACCTCCAATAAATTTCCTATATATCAATGTATATTTTAGAGTCTATTCCTAGAGAACTTACTCAAATAGAATTGTTTCAGTTTTTTTTTTTACAGGTAAATGGGAATTTTATTTTGATGTCTCCTGATAGCAAAGGCAAATGAAAGAAATCATATCTCTTCCATGGGTTTTTTAATAATATAATAATTTTATCCCTTTTTTCCATTCTTCTGGATTTTAAAAGTAACATCTTGGATATAGCATTAACTATTATTTTTATATTTGCCATAGCAAACTTTTATGTGTACCTATTCTGTGCCAGGTATTTCTCAAGTACTGAATCTCCATTATTAAATTTAACATTCTAAAGTGTATTGATTTGTATTTTTTTGAAAGGCAGAATGACAAAGAGAGAGAGAGGGAGGAAGGAAGGGAAGGAGAGAGATATCTTCAATCTGCTGGATCACTTGCTAAATGCCAACAACAGCCTGAGCAGGGTCAA